AGGCAGGGAGGGATCATAGGAGAGATCGTAGGGTGAGCCACAGCTGCGCAGCGCCGGGTAGGGTCTAGCGGGCTGGATGAGGGGGCTGCGTGTCCCCGGGTGAAGTGCGGGGCGAGGTGTTGGTCCCTGGGCACGGCAGGGAGCGCGGACGTTCTGGGACCGGCAGCCACAGCCGGTGTTTGGGTTGGAGGATTTGTGTGGTCAGCGGAGGAATCGTGTAAGGCTCTTGAAGCCGCAGGACCTTCCGTCCTCACCAGCCCCCTGTTGTCTGAGTTTGGGGCATGAGCTCAGGGGTTTCCCACTCCAGTTCGAATCAGGGCTTACCCCTCTTTCTGAGGTGACCTTGGGGAAGTCATTTACCACCTTAGCTCTCCGGTGTTTTTTAGACTGAATTCCCGAAGGTAATTGGGGAGAGGGTGCGGAGCAGGGCTTGAGAATGCACCGGAGCAGAAAAAACGACGTGCGAAGGTTGTCTTGGGATCCAGTTACTGTTTTTCCCTCAGGGAATATGTTCGAGATTTTCCCACGTCTCTCACTCTTCTTTCTTTTCTTTTTTCTTTGAGACGGAGTCTGTCTCGCTCTGTCGCCAGGCTGGAGTGCAGTGGCGCGATCTCTGTCACAGCGACCTCTGCTTCCCTGGCTCAAGAGATTCTCCTGCCTCAGCTTCCCGAGTAGCTGGGATTACAGACACGCACCACCACGCCCAGATAATTTTTGTATTTTTAATAGAGTTGGTGGTTTCACCATGTTGGCCAGGATGGTCTCGATCTCTTGACCTCCTGATCTGCCCACCTCGTCCTCCCAGAATTCTGGGATTACAGGCGTGAGCCACAGCACCCGGCCTCACTTTTTTCAAAACTGAGTCCTACTGTTAGATTGGAGTTACTTTTTGGTAATGAACTTGGTCTATTTATAACCCACCCCACCCCAACTGCTGCTACTACTCTGCCCAGATTCTTAAAACTAGAATCTGAGGTCATGAAAGAACTTCAACATGCCACTTAATTCGATGAATCTCAAATTTTCAATCTGTAAAATGAGAAGAAGAAATAATGGTAGCAAAATCTGCCTAATTACAAGATTACTGGAAGCACTGAAGAACATAATGTCTGTAAATGTAGACTTGTAAGTCAGCATACAAATGTAAGGCTCTAGTGCAATTCTTTTTATAGGTAAGGAAACAGCGCTAGAGAAGAAGCTGTTAACTGGGAGAAACAGGACTGAACTTGACTCTTGGCCTAGGGTGCTTTTACTTATACCACACGAATCCAATGCACTGAGTGTTTTGAGTTATGTCTTCTTTCTTCCCCTTCCCCCTTTTTTTTTTTTTTTTTAACATTCTACTTCTCTCTTTCAGACATCTGAAGAGCTGCCATGTCTGGGGCATCTTCCTCAGAACAGAATAAAAACAGCTATGAAACCAAACCCCCAAATCTTCGAATGTCAGAGAAGAAATGTTGTGAGTTCTGGTAAAGAGGAGGGACTGCTCTCTCTCAGCATTTATCTTGGGAATATAGTTATAATCCTGGACTCTGCTGCGTGGTGGGAGTGATAAATAATTCTTTGACATGGAAATTTAATACAAAGTCTCCAGGGTGGAATGTCCTGTCTAAAACAAGTAGACTTAGTGAAATGTCTGTTCTTGGGGCTAGACTACCGGTGTAGCCCAGAAGCTTCTTACTGCTTTCTTAAATGGAATCTCTGTCTCCTGGGATGTTTGCACACTGGCTTCCTGATGGAAGTTAGAACAAACTTCATTGTACGCGCGATAAGTAAGGTACAGTTGCAGGTGCAGGAATTACTTGGAGCTGGTAATGTTAGCAGCTTTATCTGTTGGGCTAAGTTTTGGGAGACTGCTGTTCATTGTAGAAATTGCAGAGGGAGCCAGTGCTGCTTGGCTTTATTTCCTACAGGCCTGAGGGGAATGAGCCCTGACACTTGGCTTCTCATGGTGTCTTGGGCATCTTACTTTCTTACAGGTTTAGCCTTTGTACTTGGTAAACTGTTTTCCCTGTAGGCTCATTTATTTGAGGACAGCTTTCACCTGAGCATTTCCATGCTTGTCTTTTAGAGACAGCAGGAGGGTTTGTGGGGAGATGAAGCATGATTTCCTGTCCCCATGCATCTGTATTTCTAAGCATGTTTATAGGTTGCATAGCTTCCCAAAAGGTCTGGGATGCTGTTCTCCACGTGTTTTGGGGAACTTCAAGGAATGCTAACTCTTGCTTCTGCTTCTGGATTGCACCTTTCCTATGGAATCCTGTCAGTTCTTCTCACTTCAGTGGAGATATATATATCACAGCAGGTGGAAACAGCCAACCAGCATGAGACCAGGACTCGTCTTATGTTCAAAGCTTTCCCCAGAGCCTTGACCTTGATGTTTCATGCCCTTGTCAGTTTCATGATTAATGATGATAATCTCTCTTCACCTAGCACCCATGAAGCCTGCTGGACAGCAGCGGCTGGCTAGATGAGATAGTGGGGTTGGCACAGTTAGGGTCTACAATGAGGGTCTCTTTTCTCTGCCAGGGCAAGGAGCCAGGTGCTAAGGGCAAAATACCCCACGAGAGATAACTAGTATAGCATGAGGTTTGAGTGTTGCCTCTGGAGTCACACTGCCTGGGTTTGAATCCTGGGTTTATGACTTCTTAGCTCTTGAACAAGTTGTTTATCCTCCCCATGCCTCAGTTCACTTTTTTTAAAAGTGGGGATACTAATAGTATCTCCCCCAAGAGTGATGTGAGGATTAAATAACTAAATGTAGGAGGGCACTTAGAAGACTGTTGGGCATATAGCTAGTGTGTGTTATTTTTCACAGGTGACTCAATCTGCCTGTTGCATTTATTCCTGTAATGTTTATATTGAATCGCACTCAGATGGTGTATTGGAAGCTCACTATTTAAAAGAGGCCTGGGAAGAATTATTTTTTTCAGTGAAGAATGTTTTCTCCTCTTGTTTGACAATTTTGTAACCCAGATTGGGGATCTGGGACATGCCTCTTAAAGGGAGATACACTCCTGTTACTAGGGTGCTTGATCCAAAAGAGAGGTGGGGCTGGGGGGTGGAATCGATAGTTGTGGGAGTCTCTGACTACATGATGCCCTGTGTCAGTCCTAGCTTTGCTTTTTTCTCCATGGTAGGAATCTCTTCTCCCTGCCTTCCTAATTCTTTTGCAGTTCATCTGCTTTGAGGGCTTTCAATTAGTCAAGGAAACAGTAATCCCTGGTTTCTTTCCTGTCTTCTAAACTCGAATTCCTGCTCTGGGCTCTAATCTCTTTTTTCCAAGCTCTAGCTTCTCTAAACACCTTTTTCTTAGAGAAGAAGCAGCTACTGTGGTTTATTTACCCCATTCTCTCCCCCTCCCAATCAGGCTGTGAGACTGTTGCAGCCATAGCCAAAGGAGAAAATACAGTTCTGAGGGTACGTGTTCACTTACTTCCTTTTCCTCTGGAGCTGTACTTTGGAGCAGGTTCCCCTAGCTGCTTAGTGCTCACATCAGCAGCTGCTTTATTACTAGCTTAACTGTTGTCCTCTTGCTGCTAATTACACCTGTGTTGGCCAACTTTGACTCTGGGAAGTGGCTGGGCTTAAGGATTTCAGGGCTGCAGAATGAATTTAGGGAGTCATTCTAAGGAGCATTACTGGGACTTCAGCTGCTCCAGGGATGAGGTGAAGAGGGGCTACTGGCCGAGGTGACTTTAAGGTGCTCAGAGGACTGGTTGCAAGTCTTATGAAAGCAGAAATGGAGAAATCTATATGCTTTTTTTTCTTAAAAAAATTTTTTTTGAGTAGTTCTGAAACAGACAATTTCTTCCATTTATCTTCCCCTAAATATGAAAGCAATGTGTGTTCATAAAAAATTGAAACTACAGAAAGAATTTTGAAACTACAGAAAGAATTTAGAAAGCAAAGTAAAAAAAACCTCCTATCTCTTCCATGTATGATTCTTTTAGACATCTTATTTTGATATATCCTATTAATAAAAGTAGGTTCATATTGTTCACATTCTGTTCAGCTGTGATTTCCTTTTTTTTTTTTTTAAATAACTTACTGTCTTGTGAACATCCTTTTCATGTGGGTAAACTCAAATTTACCTCATTCTGCATTGTATTGATATGCCAGCTTTCCACGGATGGACATTTAAACTGTTTCCAGTTTTTCATCATCACAAAGAGTGCTGCAGTGACCATTCTTACACATACACCTTTGCACATTTGTGTCAGCAACTTTTCCTACAGAAATAGAAAAGATAGACACATTGGAAATGTTCATCAGTATTACTAATTTGCCCTCTTAAAAAGTTCTATATTGTAAGCTGTTTTCACTATTTGAAGATATTTGATGGAAATTGGGCAGTGTCAACTATAGCCTAGCGGTTAACTGAAATATCAGCTTTCTTAGTGTTTGACTGTAGTTGTATGACCTTGGTTATTTTGTGCCTGTCAACTGGCAGGAGATAATCAGCAGTTCTGACTTCTGATGAATAAAGGTAAAATATCACTAATGAAACATGCTTTATGGGCTGCATATTTCTAAATGTTATCTCTCTTTAGAACCAATAAAAGAAGATGATCTGGGTTATCAACAGACTGGGAACCATTGCTCTCCTAGACCATCCTTCAGGATTAGGATGGAGAGCATAGTTGGGTTTATTGTGAGGGTAGCTTTGTCAAGTGCTGACATGGGGCACGGGAGCTGGCAGCTGGGACTGAATGGGCAGTCATGAGACCAGGAGACTGGTCAGAGCCCTGACCTTGACTGTCTATTGTGGGACCATGGGCAAAGCTCTTAGCTTGAGTTTTTCCATTTACACAAGGGAAGTTATCAAGTCCTCTTTTTTTTGTTTTTGTAAATACTTCTTTTTTTAATCTATTTATTTATTTTGAGACTGGGTTCTGAGACTGGCTAAGTTTTGTATTTTTAATAGAATTATGTTTCACCATGTTGCCAAAGCTGGTCTCAAACTCATGGGTTCAATCAATCCACCCACCTTGAGCTCCCAAAATGTGGGATTACAAGTGTGAGCTACCACGCCTGGCCTCAAATCCTCATTTTATCTAGGCAAATTTGTGAAGGGAAAATAAGTTTGAGAAAAGTAGTTGAACCTGGCTTAAAGCAGGTGGAAGAAAATTTCAGGATCAAGTAGTTTTCTATTGTATGTCAAGAGTGGGTTACATTGTCTCTGAAATTAATCAGGTGGTGGTGGCAGGTAGTTTTGTTTTTTAACAGGCAGGACAGAATGTTCCTACTTTTGCCAGTGTGGCAATTTGAGATAGGAAGTGTGGTTGAGTTTTGTACTCCAGAAAATGAGAAGCCCTGGTTGTAACAGATGTGCATGAGTGTGTTCCAGGAAGAGGCGAGAGGTGCGTTGCTGGAGAGCTCTTGGGAGGTCCCTGGTGGATATAGTTTTTTTTTGTTCTTAGCATTCTCTGTCCACATGGGTAAACATAGAGCAGCTGGTTCCCTGGTTGCCTTCAGAGCAGCTCCCAAGTATCAGTTCATGTTAAGCTTTAGGGAGGGTAACAGGACCTTTGGGGGAAGTGCCTAATGGGCTGGAAGGTGTGGACACAGCAGGCCTAGGAGTGAAGGTAATGAGCCAGATCCTGGGGGATTGAGAGGAGGCGTTGAGCTGAGCTGGAGAAAGTGAAGACTCAGGGGATCTTACTACTTAAACCTGAGGCAGCTGATCCCATGCAGAGGCTATCTGCCTGTTAGGGGTCAGTGATCAGGGATTAATGCCAGCTGAGGCTGCAGGATACAGTGTGCTTGCCTTTGAGTTCCCTATTTGGACAGAGATGAAAATCACTTATGTGGCTCTTTTACCTACCTTGGAGAGGCTCCTGCTGAGAATCAGGAATTTTCCATGTGTACAGTGGGTAAAGGGCTAACAGCCAAACCCTCTGACCCCAGGTCTGGGCCTCCACTTCTTCCTCCTCACCACTAGGGTCATTCTGATCCTTGCCAAACACCCTTAGGAAACTCTTCCTTCCGAGGTTGGTTCTCTACCCAGGCCCCTCCACCCACTTCTCCACTGAGATCTTTTTACGTTTATTTCTCAAAAAATGAAAGTTGTATTTCCCATGTAAGTACCTCCAACTTACGGAATAGTTTCTTAATCACACAAGGTCACTTAGCCCCAGGCAGAGAGGCAGCCGCAACTTGCAGGGCACCTTCTGGGAGGCAGTAGTGGGAAGTGGAAGGGAAAGATGTTTCTTCCTTTTACCCCATCCTGTGCAGGGCCTTCCCTCATTGGAGCTGGCAGAGCCTGAGCCATCCCAGGTGACCTCAGTGCGGTTCTTGGCCCCAGGACAGTGGCTGGCAACAGTGCAGGTCCTTCTCCCACCTCTCCTCTGCAGCAGGATGGGCAGGGAGGAGCCAGCCCCTATGAGCAAAGTGATGAGGAGCCTCTTTTTATGGAGAAAAGCTTCAAGGAGGCACAAAGATCACTGTTCTAGTGCCAGCTGTACCCTTGACTCATTTTGTGTCCCTAGACAAGTCAGCTATCCCCTGGACATCATTCGCCCTGCCTGTCCAGTGAGACTTATCTCTGCAAATGAGCATTCCCGAAGTAAGTTAATTTACTAAGGAAGGGTAAACTGTGGACTGTTAATGCTTCTCAGTTGTCTTGCTTTTACGTGGGCCATGGTGGCAGGTTGGCCCTCATGCCCTGTGTGGGCTAGCTCTACCCTGAAGTTTCCTGAGGTCTATTCAGAATGTGTATCAAGTAGGCTTTCCCACTCAGTCTCCCTATGGTTTAGAAATTCTGGCTTAAAGAGGAGCTCATGGCCTGAGTGCAAAGGCCAAAACAGCTTGAGGCAAGGCTTTCTGCAGTGGACAAGCTAATTCTTATGCATGGTTCTGAAGGGATGAGTGGGATCCTGGAGACAGAAACTCCGTTGGACCTATTACAGGAGCCAGCTCAGTTCTGCACTGGTAGAATCTCCAAGCATTAGACCTTCCTTCACAGCTGTATCATTTTTATATTGCCAGGCATTCTTCTGTTAAGGAGGATGTCATTGCTTTTTTTTTTTCTTTCTTTTTTTAAGACAAAGTCTTGCTCTGTTGCCCAGGTTGCAGTGCAGTGATGTGATCATGGCTTACTGCAACCTTGAACTCCTGAGCTCAAGCAATCCTCCTGAGTAGCTGAGACTATAGGCGCACACCCCGACACCTGGCTAAGTTAAATACGTGTGTGTGTGTGTGTGTGTGTGTGTGTGTGTGTGTGTGTGTGTGTAAAGAGACAAGGGTGTCTCTATGCTGCCCAGGTTTATCTTGAACTCCTTGCCTCCAGAGATCCTCCCACCTCAGCCTCCCAAATAACTGGGATTACAGGCATGAGCTGTCATGTCTGGCCCTGCCATGGTTACTTACTTTCTTATCCTTGCCACTTTTTCCCCTCTTTCTACCTTGGGTACCTCAGTGAAGACCTCAGACGTGGAGAGGAGACGTGTCTTGGTTTGGGCATTTTCTGGAAGTCTGCTCAACCCTTTAACTCTGTTTCAGGAGGCCTGCCTGATATCTCCTTGTCTTCCCAGACTTCCTGAACCTTTGCTTTTCTAGAGGTTTATGAAGATAAAATGAGATTATGACTATGAAGTTCGTAGCTCAGTGTATAAACCTTAGTAGGCCCCTAGTCATTTCATTTTATTTTGTTTCATTTCCTTCTAGCGTGGGCCTCCTACATGACCAACTCCCCGACTCTCATCGTTATGATTGGTTTGCCAGCCCGGGGTAAAACCTACGTGTCCAAGAAACTAACACGCTACCTCAACTGGATTGGAGTGCCCACCAAAGGTAAGTGTGGCTCATTCCTCAGTAAGGGAATTTCTTAGTTCCTGGGCCTCACAGGTCTCTGGGAGACTTATTCTTCCTGGCATCAATGCTATAGGGTGCTTCTGGAAGAAATAGCAGTTGCTTTCTGGTTTACTGGAGTTATTCTCTGTTCCCAGACTTGTCTCCTTCTGGCATGGGTGGATTGGCCTAGTTTTGAGGGAATGCCTTTGATAGGACTATTAAGATTTAGAAGAGCATAGGGCTGTACATTTTCAGAGGTCTTACATGTATGTTATCCAACCCTAGCAGTGTCTCTGCGAAATAGAGTTGCTGAGGAAATGGAAACCTCAGACAGCTTAAGACTTGTCCAAGGTCTAGAAAGTCAGGACTTGAACCCAACTCTTTTGACTCTTAATCTGATGCTTTTTCCAACCTGCCATGCTGCTTTTTTCATCCCCTTGGCCACTCCAACATTAGGCCAAGCAAGAAGTCCCATTTGGTGGGGCCATCATATTGTTTTGCTGCTGAAGGATTTGGGTGTCTTCTGCAGTGTTTAATCTTGGGGTGTATCGGCGTGAAGCTGTCAAGTCCTATAAGTCGTACGACTTCTTTCGGCATGACAATGAGGAGGCCATGAAGATCCGCAAGTGAGTCTTGTTTAAAGCCTGATCTCCAGGTCAGCTCTTTCTCGGCTATTGTGAGACTCGGTGTGACAGGGCTTGGTATCATCTCAGTAAATATCTTATGGGGAAGTTAAGTGGAAGTTACCTGATGGGCAAGTGACCTTAGGCTTGGGTGGGCAGAAGAACAGGACTCAGGGTGATACCTGTGTGCTTGCAGGAGAAGTCTAAAGAGGGATAAGATCTGTGCATTGGGGCAGGGACAGGAAGGGGTTATAGGATGGTGTGAAGAGCCTCAGTGAGTAAGCTGAAAGATCTAGTTAGAGGAAGGTTTTCAGCTGTGGGAAACTAAGTGGGTAGGGATATGACTCCTGTAGCCACCCGAATGTTTGTGTCTCTCACTGTGTTTGAGCTTAGCTCTCCTTGCTGGTTTCATTTGCTCTCCTGGCAGACAGTGTGCTCTGGTGGCGCTGGAAGACGTTAAGGCGTATCTCACCGAGGAGAATGGTCAGATTGCGGTAAGCTGTACCTGTTTCTGCTTCTTTCTGGTCCCCACCCTTGCAGCAGCCTGGCTACCCAGCCCCACCTTGAGTCTGCCCTGGTGGGGACAGACTCTGTTCCATTTCTCTGTTCCTGCTCATTTACCTTGTGTGCGTTCTTCACAGGTGTTTGATGCCACCAATACCACCCGGGAGAGGAGGGATATGATTTTGAATTTTGCTGAACAGAATGCCTTTAAGGTAGGATCTAACTCCATGCTGGGGGAAAAAGGATGAGTAGAGGTGGGGAGTCAGGCTCTTTGACTCTAGTGAGTGAGGGCAGGATGGGATATCTGAACCTCTTCTCTCAGAGCATACCCCCAGTCCTTGAGTGTTTTCTTTCAGGTCCTTTCTCAGACCTTTAGCCTGTGTGTTTGAGGCCCAGGGGAAGTGGTAAGAGCTATGAGGAGGACGTGAAGGCCACTTTCATGAAGAAAATCCTGGGAGATGTGGTGGCTGGGTGGGATAGATGAGCATGTGCTCTTAATTGACAGCCTGATATTTTCGACTGTTTATAACTGCCTTCTCTCCGTGGCCAGGTATTCTTTGTGGAATCTGTCTGTGATGATCCTGATGTCATTGCTGCCAATATCCTGGTGGGTGACACCCCTACCTGTCATCTCCTCTTCACCTTTTGTGCTACGTGTGTGTGTGTGTGTGTTTTCTGTGGGGAAGGGGTGTTTTGGGTAATGAAAGAGAGAAATGGACATGTTTAACATCTCAAAGAGATCTTTTCTATCTGCCAGAGCACCATCTGGTACTTCTATGCTCTTCTCTTGGGAAAGGAAAATGGGGTTTTAGGGAATCAAGTAAAAATTAGCTCTTGAATGGAAACCAGCGTTTAGGTTGTAGGAGTCTTGGCACTGTGTTCTGCGTATTATCTGGGTGCTGAGACCTAGATGTTGGAATAAATCAGCTGGGTATGGTGGCTCACGCCTGTAATCTCAACACTTTGGGAGGCTGAGGTAGGTGGATTGCTTGAGCCCAGGAGTTCAAGACCAGCCTGGGTAACATGGGCAAAACCTTGTCTCTACAAAAACCACAAAAATTAGCTGGGTGTGATGGCACATCCCTGTAATCTCAGCTAGCTACTTGGGAGGATTACCTGAGCCTGGGAGGTCGAGGCTGCAGTGAGTTGTGGTTGTGCCACTGTACTCCAGCCTGGGTGACGGAGTAAGAACCTGTCTTTAAAAAAAAAAAAAAAAAAAAAAAAGGAATGAATCAGACTCTTCATTTCAGGACTTACCTACAGGAAGTTTATCTCCTCAGCAATTGTCCAGTGTTCCAGTCAGTGTTCTATACATCGAGCTCCTCATGCCCTGTGGGGTCACAGCATAAGATAGTCCACATTGGATGGGTTGTGCTCTGCTAGGCTGAGTAGATATCCATACATGGTCTCATGCAGGTGCTCTCCCAGCAACTGGAACTTGGGATCATCTGAGGAAGAGGCATCTGGTCCCAAGTCAGGCACTGGGGTCATGTACCCTATTCTGAGTGGTAATGGGGAAACACTGGAGCCTATTCTGTTTTCTCAGGAAAGTACATAAAGGGATTGGGGCCCAGAAGCAGCTTCGGCTGCGTGACTGCCTCTGTCCTGCAGCCAAGTGCAGGCACATGACTCCCCAGTTGTCTTTACTTTTTTGGTTGCCAGGGTCACAGGATGGGGGAGGGGGTACTCAATGAGTGGAGTGCCAGTGTTCCAGTGAAAGGCGACTTTTATGGGGTTATTTTTATAGCAGTGGCTATTTGTAGGAGGGCTGTTAAGGGCAGGCCTCTGACGAAGCCTTTACTGTTCCTATGATTTTAGGAGGTTAAGGTGTCCAGCCCTGACTACCCTGAAAGGAACAGGGAGAACGTGATGGAGGACTTCCTGAAGAGAATTGAGTGCTACAAAGTTACCTACCGTCCCCTTGACCCAGACAACTATGACAAGTAAGGCTTAAGGCCATGGTTTGAAGGGCCCAAGGCAAAGGTCTCATCTGGGAAAATAACCCTTCTCCCTCTATTCTCTAACTTCCTTCTGATGATCCAAATCTATAGTGTTAACATCACCCCAGGGAAATAAGGTATGGATTTGTGGCTTTTATGTGGGTTGCATCTCATACACGAAAACCGAAGTGGTTTTTTTTGTTTCTGTTTTTGTTTTTGAGATAGGATCTTGCTCTGTCATCCAGGTTGAAGTGCACTGGCGAAATCAGGGCTCACTGCAACAGCTGCCCCCTGGGCTCAGGTGATCCTCCCACCTCAGCCTCCCGAGTAGCTGAGACCACAGGCGTGTGCCACCATACCTGGCTATTTTTTGTATTTTTAGTAAAGATAGGGTTTCCCTATGTTGGCCAGGCTGATCTTGAACTCCTAAATTCAAATGACCCAGCCGCGTAGGCCTCCCAAAGTGCTGGATATTACAGGTATGAGCTACCATGCCTGGCCGGACGTGTTTTTTATCATTAATTTTTTTCTCTCTAGTCTCTAGAGCATGATTTCCTCAATCTCAGTGTTGTTGGCACTTTGAACTGGGTGATTCTTTGTTGTAGGAGCTGTCCTGTGCATTGTAGGATGTTTAGCAGCTTCCTTGGCCTTTGCCGACTAAATGCCAGTAATACCTCCCAGCTGTGACAACCAAAAATGTCTCCAGACATGGCAGATGTTCCCTGGGGGTTAAAATCACCCCTGTTTGGGAACCACTGCTCCATATCTCAATGCCAGGCTTCATGCCTGACTCAGAGAAATATCTGATCAATGCCAGCCATCATTACTGTGGAAGCATCTGTTGGTAGCATGGTATAGAATATAGATTAACTTGTCATGTGTGAGGATATTAGCTGTAACACAATACCAATTCCATGTTGAAGAAAGATGGTGTACACATGGAAGTCTACAGGAATGTGGCCTCGTAAAAAAGCATGCATTTAGGGCAGTTAACAGCTCTATTCAAATAATACAGACCTGCAGCCAAGCAAATGGCCCATTTAATGTGCATGGCACACTTAATACAGTGGTCTGTTTAATGTTTTGAGCCTTTCAGTTCCTTCAAGTGGGTTTCCCAAGATCCCCTTAATATGGAGACTGAAAACCACCTCTTGGTGGTTTGGAATAAAAGTATTCTTCAGCTGGAACAAAATCTCACCTAGAAAAACATTCAGAAGAACACACACACACACACACACACACACACACACACACACACACACATACATGTCTCTACATATATATACATGTGTATGTTGGTAGATGTTACCTCTGGCAGTAGGGTGATGGGTGATTTGTATCTGTCCATCTTTTTTTTCTGAATTTTTGACTTAAAATAAGCACTTACAACTGATTTTTTTGGGGGGGTGGGGGCCGGAGTGTCCTGGTGCAATTTCAGCTCACTGCAACCTCTGCCTTCCTGGGTTTAAGCGATTATCCTGCCTCACCCTCCCGAGCAGCTGGGATTACAGGCACCCACCATCACACTTGGCTAATTTTTGTATTTTTAGTAGAGACAGGGTTTCATTATGTTGGCCAGGCTGATCTCAAACTCCTGACCTTGTGATCTGCCCACCTTGGCCTCCCAAAGTGCTGGGATTACGGGCATGAGTCGCTGCGCCTGGCCATACTTACGACTTTTATAAAGAGAACAATCCCATGTTGACCTCAAGGCAAGCAATATCTGAAAGTATCTTTCCGAGAAGCGTGATGAGGCAGACGCAGGGAGTGTGTAGACACTGCTGTTTCTGCTTCTGCTCCCTCCTCCCTTTCCCTCATTGCTTGTCATGCCATATTCTGCCAGGTCTTGACTGCCTCGAATGGGACTTAATCTTCTCACCAAATTTCAGGCTTAGCAAAATCTTCAGGTCACCTAGTCTCTAGCCCTTGATGGGAAGCCTGAATCCTGTTTATCATATTTATGTACATTACATGGCACAGTACAGGCACTGAGGAAATGGTACAGACTGACTAGAAGTTCAGGAAATTGTACTTCATTTTGGTTTTAAGGAGTAATTAATCTCCTACCATTTGATTCCATAAATGTGGGTGTGACAGGGGAGTGGAGGAACAGCAGCTGGGAGCCTGCAAGTCCCTGTAGAAATCCTTTCACTCTGATTCTTATTCTCAGATTTTCATACCCAGGGAATTTTTTTTTTCTTCCCTGTCCCAGGGATCTTTCTTTCATCAAGGTGATAAATGTGGGCCAGCGATTTTTAGTCAACAGAGTCCAGGACTACATCCAGAGCAAGATAGTCTACTACCTCATGAATATCCATGTCCAGCCTCGTACCATTTACCTTTGCCGGCACGGAGAGAGCGAGTTCAATCTCTTGGGGAAGATTGGGGGCGACTCTGGCCTCTCGGTACGGGGAAAGCAGGTGAGTAATTAGTCAGCAAACTGGATTTTCTAGGCTTAGAGTTAGAAGGGCATGGCTGAGGTCATCTCTTTTATCTCCTTACTTAAATCCTATTTGGACTTAGGCCGTGGTTTCATAGTCAAGCAGGTGATCAAGTTGTGCTCTTGCTACTGTGTCTAGCTTTGTATTGAAGTGTAGATAACTTGGACCCATTTCTGCTGTGATCATTCAGCCATCAGATACTTATTGGGCATAACTTGTGTACTCAGCAATATACAGGGTGCTCCAGTGAAAGTTCATTTCCTCTTGGGTTTATACCCAAGAGGATTTTGACCATGTTGTCCATTAAAGGCCAAGTTAGCAGGCCGTGCGTGTGTGTGTGTGTGATTTTTTTCCCTTATTTTTTACTTTTAAATTCCAGTTTGCCCAAGCTCTAAGGAAGTTTCTGGAGGAACAGGAGATAACAGACCTCAAAGTGTGGACAAGCCAGCTGAAGAGGACCATACAGACTGCTGAATCTCTTGGGGTGCCCTATGAGCAGTGGAAGATTCTGAATGAGATTGATGCTGTGAGTAGGAAACTCTGAAGGTCCAGAAAAGGCAATGAGAGTCTCATATTCAGGCAGGAACTCTGAGAAGTCACTATTTGGACAGTTTTATCTAGGGAACTAGAACCACCAAGTAAAAACTCTGAGGAAGCTGACTCTACCGCCAGCTCAGAGGCTCAGGGTGGACAACTGTACCTCCAATCGGGAGGCTCCTGCCTGCTTCAGTACCTGTGCCAATTATGGGACCCAAATCAATTTTTGAGCCAGGCTTTCTGGCACCTGGGGAAAGTGGGACTAACAAGGACTCACTTTGTTCCTTTGTATATTTGCTGCCTGGGAAAAAGAAATAGCTAATAACCCACTTCTTCACTTTCTGCTGAAATCATTTGGTCAGCTATTCAGGAAAAGTTTTTCCCAAGCTTTCTCTTGGCTTTCTCTCTTCTTGAGAACAAAAGTAGACATTTCTTTTTCTTTCCTTCCTTCTACCCTTTTATTTTTCCTGCAGGTCTCCAGTCCCTTCAGTTTCTCTCCTTCTCTGCTTCCTGTTCCTTTGAGCCTCTCGACTTTCTTGACCTATAAGTTCCCCCTAGTAGTAGGAGAACATGGTAGCTTGAGCTAGAGAAGTTGCTTCCTCCCTGCAGTGGTCCTCACCCTGCAAGTCACAGACACTCTTTGACACTCTGGTCACAGGCGGCTGTAATATGTGAAATGACCCAGCATAGTGCCTGGCACGTAGTGAGAAGCTAGCATTCTTCGGTGTCATCTTCCTTATTTGAGATGGGGCTGGTATGAGACAGTCTACCTCTTCAAGCCAGGTTCAGGTGGTTTTTTGCAGGGCGTGTGTGAAGAGATGACCTATGCAGAGATTGAGAAGCGGTACCCGGAAGAGTTTGCACTTCGAGATCAAGAGAAGTATCTGTATCGATATCCTGGTGGGGAGGTAAGACCCCTGTCATGTAAAGTGGCTGCCTGGGCCCTTGCTAAGGGTTTAGCTTTAATTTGGGGGAAGGACTGAATGTGATTTGGAGGGTCTAGGCATCATTTATCTTCCTTCCCTTGGGTCATTGCGGTTTCATTGAGATTAGACAATCGAATGCCTCGTTAACAGTCCCAGGGATAAGGGTGACAAAGGCATCCTCTGTGTTCAATATGTTTTAGAATCTACACAGTCATTTTTACTTCTTGTTTTCCTTGTACTCCCTCAATCCCACCTCCACATAAGCAAGTGGAGTCACCAAGTAAATGTATGGGTTAGGAATTATTTCCCGATCATCTTCAGTGTTTTCGGCTATTTCCTTGTCAAAGTGGCTTCCATACGCTAGGGATGTGTGAGGCAAAAGTAAATAAAACTGAACAGGAAATCCCTAGAAGTCTCTTGTTGTCTCCTGCATGTATTAATCTGTGGGAAGAAAAAACACACACACACAAGTTGAACTAACACTTCCTCATCTTGACCTATAATTTTCTTGGTCTGAATATTGCTCTTGAAAGATCTGAGTTTTCTCAAGAGATATCAGGGCTAGGGGCAGTTAGCAGGTGATAGTGGTGCAGTCACTGAGCCTCCAGGAGGAAAGCCAGCTGAAGAAGAAGTGGCCCTTAGACTCCAAGGTCCAGCCACTGACTTGGCTGGCAGCTTGCACCTGGCCTCCTGCCAGCCTGGCCCATTTCCCTCCACAGTCATACCAGGACCTGGTGCAGCGGCTGGAGCCTGTCATCATGGAGCTGGAACGTCAGGGCAATGTCCTCGTCATCTCCCACCAAGCTGTCATGCGCTGCCTTCTGGCCTACTTCTTGGATAAGGGCGCAGGTGCCTTTGAGAGAGGGGCTGGGAGCCACAGCTGGGCGAGGGGCTGGACTCACAGTGGCACCAGGACTCCTGGGAAACAGATCTCCCTGTCTTCCACTCAAATTAGAGTACTTTCTCCAGGCAGCAGTGTGGGGCTCCCAGCAGCCACTGAGTCAATGACTTGCTGAGTTCACTCTGCTGCTACAAGAGCTTCCAATGGAGAGTGTCTGCTGCTGGTGCTCCTTGATCCTGCCTGGTTTAGGGGCCAGTGTCACACTGACACTCCTGGCAGCATCAGGACAGTGGTTGAACATTCCCAGCCTGCCACGCTGCCTACTAGGCGGGTAGTCTCTTAGGAGCAGCAGTTGTTTCTGGGTAAAGGCAGTAAGAAGGTGCCGCTGCCTTCTTCCATATTTCCCTTCCTGATCTTCTGGAGCTACTGAGAAGCCTGCATTGTGGAGGCTGAGCTCAGCATCCTGAGCTGCTGGGAAGCTGTTGTGGCAGGCATTACTGGCCTTTGCTGTACCCAGATGAACCCCTTCCGTGGGTCCCTCTGGCTACAGTACTTCTTCCTGATTTGCCTGCATAGAATGATCTAAGATGGCCTTATTTCCTTCCTTAGCCACGCAGAAGATTGGGCGGCTTTGTGTTCTGGGGTTTAAGGGAGGAGTCGTATAACTCTAGGAGGTGGTCAGGGTAAGGGAGACTCATTATGATCTCCATAGGGTCTCCCGTCCACTAACTTGACCTTACTCCATAATACTAAGAAACTTCCCTCACCTGGTCTTTCTGCTTTCAGATGAGCTACCATACTTGAGATGCCCTCTCCATACCATCTTCAAACTTACTCCTGTGGCCTACGGTAACTATGCGCTTAGGGGCTGGTGGGAGCTGGGAATTGAGGAAGGTCAGAATTTTCTCTGAAGTTTGTCTACAGTTCAGCTTCATTATCCCCATGTACTTATATATTCCATCAGCGCCTTCTGTTTTTAAAGTTATGTGTGCGTGACTGTATGTATTGCAGAATGCATACGTTCCTTTGTGGTATGCTTTCCCATAATGAAACTAAAGAATTTTCCACCTGGGAAAAGTAAATAGCTAACAACCCACCTCTTTACTTTCTGCTTCTTCCTTAAGGCTTCTCTTTCCTCTGTTTTCTCAGGGTGCAAAGTGGAAACAGTTAAGCTTAACGTGGAGGCCGTGAACACACACCGCGACAAGCCAACTGTGAGTATTTTCCTGTGGTGAACACTCCCATTTCCCTGCCACCTTGAGGCTTTGAAGCTTTGGCATTAAGAGTCTGGGGTTTCTTTTATGTACGAAAGGGAACAGATTCAGAACTTATGTTTTACATAGTTTGCTAGGTCTGAAAGAGATGTTGGAATTATTATTTTTTAAATTAGTACCCATTTCATGAGTCTTAAACTTGAATGTTGGCCCCTGGAAATTCAATTAAATATGGAAAGCATTTGACTGAAGAGAAATGCAAATTACCACCCCCTCCAAGCCCAAGTGTTCCTTCAGAAAGTAGAGTCCAGAGGAGCCTATAAGGTTGGGGACCAACAGGCAGAGGTTCATTCCTGGGTCTGTCCCTGGTTCTGTGTGGTCTTCAGTAAGCCTCCTTCTCTCTTTGGGTCTTTTTCCTGCTTTGGAATGTTATGCTCAAGGAGCTTCTCCCCTTTAGCTCCCTGGTGCTAGGAGGCCAGGTCACGGCCCATGCCCTCTGAGGGACCCTGTGTGCAGAGGAGCAGGAGTGAGGAAAGCTGTTGTGGTTACAAGCACGTTATTAACCTGTATGAGTGAGCTTTTGGCTTGGCTTTCATTTGTGTGGTGTCGCTCCATTTCCAATCAGAACAACTTCCCCAAGAACCAAACCCCTGTAAGGATGAGAAGGAACAGCTTTACGCCTCTGTCCAGTTCGAATACAATAAGGCGTCCGAGAAATTACAGTGTTGGGAGCCGGCCCCTCAAGCCCCTCAGCCCTCTCCGTGCCCTGGACATGCAAGAAGGGGCCGACTAGCCGAAGACCCAAGTCAGCATTTCGGTGGTGTGACTGTGTGTTTCCCTCCAGCCCTGGCCTCCTGCCCTTGTCACTAATCATCAAGGAGTCATTTAACTTCCTCCCTCCACCCCCACCCCTGACACTTCACCATTAATCTTAACATAGAACGTGAGGTTATGTGTTTATAGGACAACCTTAGCTGTTCTCCAGTCTGAAACATCTTTCCACCCAGGGGCAGGTTAGCAAATTGGGTCTTTCAGGAAAGATTCTCAGATGGAATGGTCTGGAGGAGGAGGAAAAAGATACATTCCATTGGGGCTGAACATGCCCCACGCTCTTGGTTCTTCTCTGTGTTCCCTGGTGTCTTACTTCACTAATGTCCTCGTGTGGGTAAAGTGTTGGGGCGATGGAGTGTGGGTGAGTGGTGGGGGGACAAAATGTCGATTCTTCCTTCACTTCTGTCTCTTCAATGTGTGTTTTCCTCACAGTGCTTACTTGACTGCTTTCCTCTCCCACTTTCGTGTCCCCTCAGGATTGTCCGGTGTAATGCATGGCATTGTGGTGTCTGTCTAGGAAGGAAGGGGTGATTGGCAAGAGACAATTCTGGCCCAGCTGATGCTTTCTGCAGCGGGTCCAGATGGATCTGGACTGGAGGAGTCTTTCCTTTCCTTTCTCCCTTCCTCTCCAGCCAGGTCCTGCAAGGGCCAGCCCAGGCTACAGAACATCCACAAAATACTCTGGAGCTTGCAAGTGTACATAGGGTGAGAGCTCTTGCCTCCTTTCATGAGAAACTGTCCTAAGTCTTTGATGCCCTGGGGGAATCTGGCTCTGAGGATGTGGGAAATAGCTTGGCTTTTATTTTTAACTTAGGGTCGGGCCTGGGTCTTTTGAGGTCTGCAGGATGGGGTTTTGGAGAGCAGGGTGGGCGGCAGCTCATGCGGAGCTTTTGGAGACCAGTCACGTCTTTTCTCCCATGGTTCGCAGGTTCTTTGCCAATCACAGCAACTTTTCCTGCCAAAGTCAGTATTCTCTGGGGCGGTTTAGAAGGGCAGTTAGATTTAGGAGCCACCACTGATGTTTAAATTGCAAAAGGCAAGAGGCAGAGAAGAGTTCACTAAAATGGCTTATTTTCACATAATTTCACACCCTGTTTAAGAATAAAGACACGTCAAAACAAAATAGTTTTTACGTTAGCATTCATTTCCCAAATGTGAAAAAGCTTGGTGATGAATTTAATCTCTCTCATTGGAGTGTTCTTTTGTTCACAAGGAGAAACTGTCTCATCTTGAAGTCCAGAGAAGTCCTCGGAACCCTGTGGGATCTAGCTCTTAACTGTTTCTATTTATCTAGTCACTTCTGTCATTTCATTTTCTTTGTAGGGTTAAACAGAAAATGTTTAGAGAAGGAATTCTTAGCCCCTTGATGACCATGATGGCTTGTTCTCTTTTCCAATTTTGCATGCAAAATGTACGAATATATGTATGTTTTTCTGAGAGGCAAGTTTAGAGTTCTCAAGGGATTTTAAAGAGATAGGTGACTCCCCACCTCAAAGTTACCGGCTCGTCTGCTTCCATGGTAATGGAAGACCTTTTGTTGTGGTTCTCATCCAGGAGTACTCCTTAGAATCCCCTTTAGAATTGTTGAATCATAAACATGCCTGTGTCCACCTTACGCCTAATGCTGACTCACAATCTCTGGCATCTGGGTCTGGACATGCATGTATTTACGTAGCTTCCTGGATACTTCTGACATAGCCCAGATTAAGAACTCCACCTTAGGAAGTTAGGTGGAAAAATACTGGGATAGTAGTTCCTCAGACAAAAGTGTCAGCCTAGGAATTCTGAATTTCTCAGTGCTTAAAGGACAGTTCTTTGGGTTTGATGTTTGAGCAGATCATAATATTAAATGATATAACCCTCTGGAAGGCAGGCTGCTGTGTTTTAGAGGGTTATTCTAGGTTCTAGTCCCATCTTTAATCCTTACCATTGCTGAGCGATGTGGAAGAAATCACTGAATTAAATAATTGTCCCTAGATAGCAGCTGGGGATTTTAAGCACCCTGGAGAGAGCTGCAAACTCTGCAGGATGATAAAGTTGTCATCACAGGCAATAACTCCCTGACCCCGAGTCTTTTACTCCTATGTCCCAAGTAGGATACCAGAGCCAGCTTCTAAAGACTGCTTACCTAGATTCATCTCAAAATTATGTCAAAGATGTAAAGTAACCTGCTATTCCTGTTTAGTGGTTATATAATATGTACTGAGTGTCTTTGTGGAGCTTTGGGCTGGTGGGGGCAGGGACAGGAGAAAGACACACAGAAATAGAAGAAAAGGTTATCGCCCAGAGGAAGATTATTTTAAGAGACATGATGTAGTTTGTAACAAATGAGCATTTGCAATATAGCAACACTCTGAGTCTAGAAGTGCTCACCAGCACATCGCTTCTCCTGACTTTTCTGTTGTCCTATGGCTACGAGACTACAAGGATTGGGGGATGGGATGCCTCCACCACCACTAATGTGAGAAGGAGATACGTCGGGGAGGCATGTTTGGCACTTTTACAAGGTTGCATTGTCTACATTTGCTCCCAGTTATGTAGCCCAAATGGGCATTCAGTCTTTTCTTCTGCTGTGAGGTGAGTGTAATTCAGAACTAATGAACGAGAAGAGGGAGCACTTTGATCCACAGATTGGATTAACACTGTACCTACTCTTAGCAAGAGGAGACTTGTCTAACAAGCTAGCATTGTGTTAACCTGTCAGTAGCCCCAGCATTTGAGACAGGTCACTGGGATGTTCACTCTGGCTCTCAGCCTGACGTTAGGTCCCCACTCTCCCCGTGCCAGTTTGCTTTCCTCAGAAGAGGAGCTGAGGGGTGTCTTATTATCCTCAGATAGAACATGAGAAATTAGAATTTGACAAGCAAGGGCTTCAGCATCCTTTGGTTTCTAAAGCAAGATCCCTTCAGAGAAGTCCAGCAGGAAGAAACCAGGAGAATGTAGAATGGAAAAGAACTTTTACTCCACATTTTAAAGAAGTTCCATCTCTACTTCTCATCTTTTCTCTCCTGGTCTTCTTACTTGAATGCATGTTGTAGTATATACACATTGCTATGATTGTGCCTATCACAAGTCCTACAATATAAAAATGGACTTAAAAGTACTCTCTGCTGAGGCCATAGGTTTTATGTTATGAGAAATAGATAAAGACATTAGCATTTAACCTACTGGAATAAGCTGGTGGTTGCAGCTTATTACCTGTAGTCCCAGATACTTGGGAGGCTGAGGTGGGAGGATCACCTGAGCCCAGGTGTTTGAGACCAGCCTGAGCAACGTAGTGAGACCTCACCTCTGAAAAAAATTTTTAAAAATTTACTTGTCTAAAGTGGGGAAAGGGAAATTATTCTGTTTTCTTATTCTTGCTTCAAGTCTATGAGAGATTTGAAAGAGAAATCTAAAGCAGATTTAGAGAACCTGCTTCTCTTCTTATCTCCTAATCCCTAAATTGGAATTTAGCTCTTATCTGTATTGTTTTTGTTTCAGTAAAGGGATGATTTTACACTGAGTTGGAAAGTGGAATAAGGAAAGCTCCTAAAACCTTGCACTGTGCTGGGGATCTGCCCCATAGCTTTGGTTTTGGTGTTTTGTTGTTGTTGTTCTTGTTTGTTTCCGAAGAAGTTGGAGTTAAGGATACAATATGTCTGTACCCCTAGACGGAATGGCTGAATATTCCATATGAGGATATGCGTAATCCTCTTTGCAACCCACATTTGATCTTCAGAGATGTTGGCGTTTTGAAGAAACATGATATAGCTGTTTGGGAATAAATTCATCTATGTTACTTTTTTTGTGTGAGCAAGAGATCTTAATTGACAGAAACTCCTTGGTGGTTAGGGTGGCCAATGGCAAGGGAAAAAGTATCCAGTAATCAGAGAACTGCATCTGGGTTATGTAGTCTTATGCATATTTCATGGTCTTTGCCAAGCCCAGAAGCCATATTGTGTTCATTGTCAAGAAATTTGATTGCTTTGCCCAGCTTTTCTAGTATGGATTTTGACTTATTAAAAATATATGACGACCTGAACAACATTGGTTGCAACATTGGTGGGTCACCCCCAAGGTAACACAGATATCAGAAGTGTGTCTAGGGATTTAATTTAGACCCATACTGTCTAGGAGATTGTCTTTAGTTGGATCTCTGTGCTGACTGACCAGCAGACTTTAGAGTCTGTGTGCAGACTGGAAGACTCTAGTGGTGTCTATATGTCAGCCAACAGGTAAACTAGTAGGATCTGTGTGCTGACTGACACCAGTAGGATCTGTTTGTCACTGACAGACTCTAGCAGTGTCTGTGTGATGACTGACTGGCTGATTCTAGTAGCGTCCGTGTATTGACTGAATGAGAAACTCTAGTAATGTCTGTGTGTTGACTGACTGACTCTGACTCTAGTATCTGTGTGTTGACTGATTGATACTCTAGTGGTATCTGTATGTCGACTGACTGACAGACTCTAGTAGTGTCTGTGTGCTGACTGATAGACTAGTAACATCTGGGTATTGCCTGACTATAGAGTCTGTAAGCCGACAGTCACAGTCTGCCTGCTGTCTGATTGCACCCATTGAAGTGTATGTATATGTTTGTAATTCTCTATTAAATGTGTCTAACAAAGAAAGAAATTAAGCACTCCAGATGTTTCCTTTATAGGGGAGTTCTGTATACTATGATTTTAAATAGACATTTCTTGTATAGTAGTGGCCAAATTCTCCTTATTTTGTAAAAGATGAAGGTTGCACATCACTGTTGTGGTATTTTGTGAACTCAGCTAAGGGAATGCCTGTTCAGAGCCTGGAGTTTTTACCCTTACTTGAGATCATTTCATCCACTCCCCTGCTTTAGGGCAGAACTTCACTTTTGCTGTCTGTTTCTGAAGCTTCTGTGTCCCCAGCTTACCCTGTTCTGGAATGCTGCATTCCGTTGGAGAGCGCTGCTGTTTTTAGTCGGCCATGCATTTGGCTTTTACACTGAATCTAATAAACAAAAATGAGAAGGAAATTTGGCGTTCAGAAATTGATTTTAAGGGCTGGCAAAAGTATTTTTTCCAGTAAGCCTTTCATTGGATATCTGTGACCAATGTTTACCTACTCAATGTTTTTGTATCTGAATTGCTTATGTACATTTTTTATTGTGTTGACGTAACAAGAAGATCAACTTATGCGGGTATGGTGATGGTTTTGCTATGGCCAAAGCAAAGGGCTGACCAAATACACAGTGCCCTTTGGGAAGGGGAATTGTGTGGGGCTGAGCACCTCTGGGTTGAATGGGTATGGGTCAGATTGGGTAGCCTAGGAAATAGAGTTCTACTGCAGATTTCCGAGGCACTGCTCTGTTGAAAGTAGGAACATAGGTCTTTAGCAACATTCTGATTTAATCAGGTGTTACTGATAACAAAGTGTGCCACTCAGATCCATTTAAGGTGTTTTAAACTGTATTTGAAATGTGTTTTTGTGCGTGTGTGTGTAGAATGGGTAAATAAAATTGTTGAGTAACTTGAACCTATCAGAAGGCTTCTGGGTTTTTTGTTTTGTATTTTCAGTTGTGTTTCCCATCCCTTCCCCATCCCTAAAACTTTGCCTCATGCTGTGCAAGGATTCAGACTCAGACAAGCCAACAAAGTTCTCACTGTTTTGAAGACCATGGTATAGCCATGGCTCTCTTCTGCCACCTTCCGGGGAAGATAGGAAGAACATTAGGGAAACTGCATGAACTTCAATAGTTCCGTGTACCTGTTGGTACTTATGCAAGAATTAAAAAACAATTACATTTCATTGCACTATGCAGTAACTCCCATTAGCAACATGTAACTCATGTTATCTATTATAAAGAAAACATTTGCAGATTTTTTTAGCATTTAGTGGACTGTTGCTCCTACAATGTGATTTACCCATTTCTAAAGAGATTACGGTCAGTGGTATAAAACAGCATTTCATTTCTTTTGGGACAGGAAATGCAGATGGGATTGTTTTACTGTTCTCAGGCCTTATTCCTTGTTACCTTAACAAGGACCAGAAGCTCATTAGAAATGCAGAATCCTAGGCCCCATCCCAGGCTTCCTGAGTCAGAATCCTCATTTTACCAGGACCACCAGGTGATTCATATGCACATTTAACATTTGAGAAATACCATTCTTGGGGAAGAATTTCCCACAAGGTAAAATGTTAGATGCCAGTTTATGGGAAGAAGTTGATCTGCCCTGATGACTGATTTCAGAATGGATTCCTATAACTACAACAGTAGGAACCCTCCTCAGAAGCCAAGTAGCCCTGACTACAATGCCACTTTATTGGCATGGTCTTTTGGCTGACATAGCCTACACGACCTTCTTCTACCAAAGGGATCCTGACTGCTTCTGCTTCATATCTTGGGTATGTAGCTTATGGTCCAGGTCTGAAAGGACTGCCTGGTCCAATATAGTCACGAGGTCAGCTCCTCAGGGAAAGAAGCCCATGACTACGCCATTCGAGTTTGCCTGACTCCCCAGAGTCAAGGTGTGTGTGTAGGCATGCCAGTGTGTTCATGCATGTGTGTGGATGTGGGGATGAGGAGGTTAAGGGAGGAGGGAAGGTAGGGGAAGGAGTCTGCTCTACTTTTATGTTTGCTGCTTGGCCAGTGGTGTAATAGCTTTATGTCTCTTCCGCTCTGGCTCGTAGGCAGCAGAGACCACACTGGCTGTACGCAGACACCCCTCTGCAGCGTCCCTCATGCTGGCTTGCTGATGATGTGGAGGTTCAGGCCACACCTCTCCAAAGGACTGGGATCTACTGAAAAGCTTGGAATGTCAGCTCTACAGAGGCTAGAACAGGAAGTTAAGTGGGAACTGGACTTTTGGGGCCACCAAAATGAGACCTGGAGAAACAGCACCACATTTCCTTCCCTTTTGCCTAATAGGAATATCAGTTATACTGAAAATTAAACTTACCTGTGCCTCAAAACATTTAGCAACGTGAACCAATGACTTTTTATCATCTCTTTGCTGGGTTTGGTCCAAGTTGGTCAATCTCATTCTGTATAGACACTTAACATCCTACCTGTGACTGTCTGCATCCTTTGCTGGCTCTTTTTTTTGCCTGGAGTGCACATGCACCTCTTCAGAGTTACCTTCCAAGTGAGAAGACTGAGCTCCAGAAAGTCTTTCCTATGCAGTAAGAGCTGGTCCCTGCATCTGTTCCAGGAGAGCAGGCTAGAGTCCAGTATACATATGCTAGCAGTTACCATTGCCACGTTGGAAACAAGAGACAAATCGCCAGGTGAATGGAGGGTGTTCTGAGAAATTCAGTCCCTAAGACCTCTCTTCTGCAGTGACAGAAGAACAGGTGTCAGTAGCAACCTTTTCATTTGGAGAAGTTTTTCTTGTTCCAGGCCCTTCCAGACAGGATCTGACTACAAGACTCCCCAAAATGGTACCCATCTTCTAAGTTCCCTTTTGTAACTGCTATAGTTTCTACTTGATACATGTGCCTCTCATAGCTGAAGATGGGGCTGTGTAGTTCTCCTGGGTGGTTGGGAATGTGGGCTAGAGAGAAAAGCAGAGTGCCATTTATATGACATGAGTAAGTCAAGAAAGCTCCCTATCAGGAGTATTTTGGCTTCACAACAGGTGGAAGGATACATGCCCCTCTGTGGGGTCTGTCACCATGATGCAGTCCTTGAGAAAGGTGTGGCTGTGACTTGGAGAGCAGCAGTCTTCTGATACCTGCCTCTTGGCCACTTGTCACTATTGTGGTCACTGGTCTTTCAAGTAAAAGTGAGGGTGGCAGGGTTGTGGCCCAGTGCCTCAGTGCATTAGTCATGCAGTTTCTCTTACAGATAAATCAGATAACTCTTTCCCAGTGATTGTCAAATGTATGAATGTATCTCTGTAAATGTGATTTTGACATGTCACTGTTCCTGAAGGAGAGTATGGAATCCCCAAAGGATATTATATCTTGCAAGGAAAGTCTATTTTTTTAAAGAATAGTATGTTTTTAGCTTTATTTTTCTTTCTTTTTTTCCTTTCCACTCAAATGCTCACTTGCTGGGCAAAAGGGTGAGTAGCAAGAAAAGTAATGAAATGTAGCTTTTCTCAAATGGTTCTTTTATACTGTGGATGATACAGGCCTCTATTACCTAAGGTGTGATGAGCTGGGCTGCAGGCAGTTTAGCATCCAGCAACCAGGAGCTCCTTTTCTACACGCAAAGCTGCCTTCAGGAAGGCTTCTTACTCTGTAGCAGATGATTTTCATCTGGCTGCCCACCGCATGCTGTACTGTAATGATTTTGTTGTGATATGGGTTTCTCTCTGCATCAAAAACTGTCTTTTGATGATCAGACAATATACTTATTTATTCTATCCGTGTAAGGCATTTTTGAGTCTTCATGTCACTATTTGCATGTATTTAATCAGAATGTAATGTAATTTATGTTGTTGGTTTTTGTTTTGTTTTGTTTTGGTAGAAATTTAGGTAGTTTGAGCTTTTAAGTTTAATGTCATATTAATTTAAGTTACTTTTCCAGAATGTAGATATCTGTCTTCTGTAAAAGGAAAATAACAATGTTAACAGTGGATTTTTTGAATACTTTTTTTTTCATTGATTTTTATTATAAGTGTAAACCAAGAGATGCATTTCTCTGGAGAAAAGTTTATCTTCTGGATTAATAAAATCATGCTAAAATACATGAGTAATATGTATTGCTTTTGTAATAAGAAAATAAAATTATTTTAAATTAAAAATGCAATTAATTTTAAGGTAACACACAAAAGGTAACATTTGGTACCTTATGCATATGCAAAATATTAATAACATTGTCCAAAATGTGTTTGAAACTAGCTTCTTTAAGATGGTTTCCAAATTATGAGATTGTATGTATATTTCCAACTAATAATTTTAACCAGTTCAAATTCTACCAGCATTTCAAAATGATATCTGTAAGATTCTGACTACCACACATTATTGACATCCTAGAGTTTCATTCATTTGTTTAACAAATATTTAGCGACTACCTGTTAGTTGCCAGGCAATGACTAAAACAAAGTCCCTGACCTTTGTCTAGAATTTATTATTGGAAAGGAAAGGTTAACAGCGGGTCTATAACCTAACCCATCTCCTTCTACTGGGGATGCTTTCCCCGTCATGAATGACCTTCCAAATAATGTTAGGTAATGGTTACATAAATGTATATGGTAAAGCACCTTGGAACACTCTTTGAGGTCAGTTGCAATAGAGATAAAATGAAATGTTCCTAATAACAACAGCATTTCCAAATTCTTTAAGTTCAAGGGTTCTTCTGATAGAATGAAAATGACTTGCAAATTCTCCAATTTGAAATCAAATGAGAGACAGTGGTTATAGGTACTGATGAATACACTGAGCTTTAACAATCTAGCGGGTGGACTGACAGCAATGAGGATGTATGGTCAAGGTGCAATTGCCTTGGAAATATCTCCAGGCACTTCCAAGTGTTCTCTGGTTCAGCCATCAAGTCATCATTCATAAAAGGCTGGGTGTCTGGAATCATTCTCAGGGTTTTACAGAGAGGTAAATGAGCACTATTACTGACCTCAACACTGTGGGAATTTTTTTATAAAGCCAATGATATCTCAGAACAAGGTAAGTGCTAAGACCCAACAGACACATGCCACACTATTTTAAAATGTTGCTGGTAACTTAGCAAAGATACCAGCATTAGAAAATGACTACTCAGAGAGTGCTTCGGTGTTGGGTGATGGTCATTGTTTGCTTTTCTCCTGTAGCTTTGATTATTACACCATTTCTCAAACTTCTCCAAGGTAATCTTTCTCCCTCTCTCTCTCTCTCTCTCTCTCTCTCTCTCTCTCTCTCTCAAAGAACAATGTGGCCGGGTGAGGTGGCTCACATCTGTAATCCCAGCACTTTCAGAGGCCAAGGCAGGTGGATCATGGGGTCAAGAGATCGAGACCATCCTGGCCAACATGGTGAAACCCCATCTCTACTAAAAATACAAAAATTAGCTGGGCATGGCGGTGCACGCCTGTAGTTGCAGCTACTCAGGAAGCTGAGGCAGGAGAATTACTTGAACCCAGGAGGCGGAGGTTGCAGTGAGCTGAGATTGCACCACTGCACTATAGCCTAGCAACAGAGTGAGACTGCAACTCAAAAAACAAACAAAAAAAAGAAAGAAAAAAGAAAAGAAGAACAATGTGTTGGATTCTACTTCATAGAAGAAGGTGGCTACTCCATTTGCAGGAAACATGTTTACACTCCAGCCAGCAGGAAGGAAGAAGGCAACAGGACATACCAACTTCTTTTAAGGATATTTCCCTTCTCAGGTAACCCATAAATATAGACATCTCCTGTAAAGTAAGAAATTAAAAAAGAATATTTCATAGATTTTGCGAGCACACTTACTTATGCTTACATCTCATTGTCCAAAACATAGTCAAACGGCTACATATAGCTTTCATGCAGGCTGGAATATTTTTATTCCAAGTGGCTTTGTGCCAGCTATAATTAGGGTTTAGTTACAAGAGAAGAGTTCAATAG